CCCGCTTCCCCTGCATCGGCAGGCGGACTCTCAACCACTGCGCCACCAGGGAAGCCCTAGATTCTCTTTTAATCACAATGTTTTGCATCTATCTCCTGTGTCTTAAACGATCCTAAGGCAGTTTCAAATCCAAACGCAAAGAAGACTTTTAAAATTCCCAAGACCTGTAAGATTAAAAACAATACTCCTGGGAATTTCATCTATTCCTGGGATAAAACCAGTCAAGCGTCTTTTTGTCACAGTGACTGCAGACCGCTAACGGGTATAGTACCCGATCGCGGTCACGCAACAGGAAAAACGCTGGCCGAAGCCCCACTTTCGGCCTGGTCTCCCTAGACCCGCCATGCCTGGCGGGAATGGGCAGGTGGACAGGAGGCTGGCCCTGCCCCATCCCTGCGGGTGTCCTGGGCTGTGATGTGCATCACGTGGGGTGGTGTCACGTGAGGGGTGTGTCGCGTGGGGCGTGGCCTGTAAGACGGAGGCCCTCGGCTTGTCAGCGGAAATCCAGGCGACAGAGGAACGGGGCTGGACGACCCCGAGGGCAGCAGACAGGGCGAGGGTCGGGCGGGTAGGCGGCCGGCAGAGGCCGAGGTGGGGCCGGAGCCGCACGGCTCTGTCAGAGCCCGACATTACGTCAGGCCTGCCCCGCATGACGCAGCAGGGCCCGAAACCCGGCCCGTGACGTGTCCAGTGCGTTCATGCGGCACTCTCCACTTGTGAGGGCGGGGCAGTCCTCCAAATTAAGAATTACAGAAAGTGAATCACCCGCGAACTTTTGGTGATTTAAACGGAGAATTATAACCAGTTTCGAGAGTTGTTTGGGGAGCAAAATTAACCTGGTGGCGCAGTGGTTGAGAGTCCGCCTGCCGATGCAGGGGAAGCGGGTTCGTGCCCCGGTCCGGGAAGATCCCACATGCCGCGGAGCAGCTGGGCCCGTGAGCCATGGCCGCTGAGCCTGCGCGTCCGGAGCCTGTGCTCCGCAACGGGAGAGGCCACTACAGTGAGAGGCCCGCGTACCGCAACAAAAAAAAAACAAAAAAAAAACAGCCGAGACGCCCTTCCCTTCCGCACCTCCTCGTACGAGTCCCTCCCACATGTCGCCTCCGACCTATCACGAGCCACCCCTCACACGAGTCCCGCCCCCGATGTCGCCCCCAGCCCATCCTGCGGCGCGTGCGCACCACACCACCTTCCCGCTTCCCCGCCCCCGGGGCGCCCACTCCGACCCTTGACCTCTCCCGGACTTTCCCGCGTCTCCGAGTCCCGCCTTCCGGTGCGCGAGCCCCGCCCCCGCCCCGGGCCTATCCCGCGTCGCGCCGTGCAGCAGCCCCGCCCCTCTCCACCCTCTTCCCGGACCTATCCCGCGCCGCGCCGCGCCGCGCACCAGCCCCTCCCCGCCCCGCGCAGGGGTTGGCGCACGGCTGTGACGTCACGGGCAGGCGAGTCGCGGCCGCAAAGCTGCGCCGCTGCGGGCCGCGGCCATGCCCAAGCGGGGCTGCCCCTTCGCGGACGCGGCCCCGCTGCAGCTCAAGGTGCGTGTGACCCGGAGGGAGCTGAGTCGCGGCGTGTGCGCCGAGCGCCTCACGCGGGAGATCTTCGGTGAGTGAGGGGAAGCGGGGTCGGGCAGGCGGTCTCCGCAGGCCGCGCCCCCTGGAGCCGGGGGCCGGGGCCAGCCGCCCGGCCGGGTTTGGGAGCAGCAATTTGGGCGCTGTGAATGCGCCCGTGTCCACGACCTGTCCCCGCCCTCCACCTTCCCGAAACAGGCGGCCTCTGCGTGGGGCCGAGACGGGGCACTGTCCTTTGGGAATGCTGGACTCGCGCAGGAGCCAGCCCTGGTCTGACCAGCCCAGCGAGAGGCCGGGGAGTGGGATGTCCCGGTGGAATAAGCCGGTAGAAGCACCCGTTCTGACCCGAGAGGCGTTTGTGGAGCGCGCCTTCCTTGCCAGGCGCTGCGGCTGCGGGAGACCCTGCCTTGCTGTCTACTGGGGGGCCAGCCAGAGAAGGACTCTCCAGAGGTCATCAGGGCAGGCACGGGTTGCTGCAGGACCACCTGCAGGCTGTCAGAGGTCTCGTGGAGGAACAGAGTCGAATGCGAATCCTTCAGGGTTAGGCAGGCAGAGAGGGAGAGGAAGGGAATTCCAGGCAGAGGGCACAGCCTATGCAAAAACCGGGAAGCCGGAGAGTGCTGTCCGGTTCATTGTGGCTGGAGTGTCCAGTTCCAGAGATGTCAGGACACTGACCTAGGAAGCCTTCTCTGGCTTCCTCGTGCAGGTTTTTGGGCGCATTGATATTATTGATCATCGCTTGGGGGGGGGGGGTTAATACCCTGGGGTAACTACAGAGTGGAATTTACCTTAACTAGTGGCTGGAGGCACGAGGTTTGTGCGTGTAGAACAGTCAGATGGTTACCTGGATGTCTGTGACTGAGGGGTGCTGCTGTGCACTAGGGATGTGGGGAAGCGCCTAGCCTGGGGAGACCCTGCTTCTCTTTGTCCTGCTGCTCCCCACCCCGCTGCCCCCATCAGCAGCTGCTGTGCCCTTTCTTTTCTTGCACATGCAGGGTTGCAAATGCAAATGCCTTTCGAGGCCGTGCAGGTGATAAAAATAAGTGAAGCTGTGAGTACTATGGCCAGACTGCAAGTGTTATCCTCTCAGGACCTTCGAAAAATGTAAACACTGCAGACAGAGAGAAGAATTAAAAATAACTGGGGGCTAAGTCAGTCTAGCTCTTGACCACGATGTTCTGGAGCATTTGCAGGGGGTTGTCCTTCGCAGGGCCCCGTCACAGAGGGAGTGCGAGGCTCCCTGGGCATCTAAGAAGGGCAGGACATAGGCCAGCGTGAACTCGTGTGTAATGAATTCCAAGCCTGAACCCTGGTCTCTTTATCTTGAACGGCCCCCAGTCCCTTGAAGACAAGTCTTAGCCTCACCATATGACCTCCCCCCAGTCCCACCCTATTATAAGTGGGGGTGGGGGGGGATTGGAGGAGGAGGAACTGGGTGTGATGGGGCTGTCATCAGCCACTCCATTTGAGTTACCCAACTGTGTGTTTCTGTCGGTTTCACTTAGCACCAACAGGTTGTAAGGTCTCCACCCTGGCTCTGTTGGGACAGGGCAGAACACCACAAACAAAGCATTTCTGGGGCTGGCGCCTGGCATTTGACCTTGTGAAAGCCCCCAGTGCCCTGATGGAAAGCCACTGCTCTGGTTGCTGAGAAACCACCTCAGCTCTGGGGTCAGGGGGTGTGGGGGGGTATCCAGGGCCCACAGAGGTCTGGAAAGTTCTGGGGTACCTTGTTTGGAGCTGGTTGCTGCCATGCCTTCTGCTAGCAGCTCCGTGGTAAGTGAAGGGGTGCGTGCTGGCCTGGGGTGTGGGCTCAGCTCTGAGTCTCTGGCTGTGCGTTAGTTAGCACTCCACAGCGCAGAGCTTCGTCTGCTGGATGAAGCCGGCTTGTGGGTGCTGGGGAGGAGACGAACAGCAAGGAGGTGAGGCCACACGTGCGGAAAGTGAGCAGAGTGATAGCACAGGGAGCCCAGGTGGGGCTGCAGGGTCCAGAACCTTCCTGGAGGAGGTGGCCGCTGAGCGCAGGCAGGAGGTCAGGGTGGGACCCAGCTCGCCAGGGAGCAGCGTGCCCTGGGGTGGCTGGGTAACCAGAGGCCCGGCCACGCGCAGCTCGAGGGACAAGGTGGCCATGCAGGTGCCTCCGTGCTGCAGCGGTATAAGCAGGGAAATGGTTGCCTCCGCAGAGAAGACCACGCAGCTCCTCTTCCGCGGGGCCCAGGCCTGCATGGACCCCGCGTGGGAGGAAGCCTGCGCCATCGTCGACACTCCGGAGTCCCCGAAGCCTGGCCCCACAGAAGCCCCTCGGGCCGCGCGCGGGCAGATGCTGATCGGGCCTGACGGCCGACTGACCAGGAGTCGAGCCCAGGCCTCCGAAGCTGGTGAGTGAGGCCCACGGCAGGCGCTTCCCAGCTGTGTGCTAAGGATGGGATGTGGCAGGGGCTTTTCCTACCTGGGCTGGAGGGGGCCGGGCCTGAGTCTGACAATATGAACAGGGCGAGGGCCTGCACGCTCCTGACATTAGGAGGCTCTGCTGTCACCAACATCCACGTCTGGTAGCTGCAAACAGCTTCTAACTGTTGGATCGGAAAGGAACAGAGACCCCTCTGGGTGACCCTTCTGGGTGTCCTGCCTGCTTTCCACCTGAAGCTCTCCCACGGAGTCCCACCTGGCTGGGTGGGAAAAGCCTGTTCGGGTCCCTGTGCAGTGTGGTGTGCGTCTCAGACTGTCACCTGTGTCGCTGGTTAAAAACTCTCCTGCCCCCGGGTCTGGGTGGTGCAAAGGGACCCCTGTGTTAACCCGTGATGCAGCGACCACGCTTTGAGACGCAGCTGTGAGACACACAAGGGATGAAGGCCTAGTGACTTCTGATGCAGGCGGTCAGGAGAAGGGCTGACCCTTAGGTACCGACATTTGGGTGATGGGAATTGTAGGTGGGAGTCACGGAAGCCAGCTGGGATCTCTCCCTGGTGAACGGGTCTGGGTGCTGTGCTTACGCACAGGTTGTCGTCTTAGGACGTACTGGTCAGTTAGGCGCAGGAGGGAGGGTGGCCCCCTGCCCTAGCGCTCCAGGTCCCCTTTGGGCTGATGGGTGTTTCTTCCCCACAGACCCAGCCATGGCGGCATCGGGAGCCTGCTCGTCGTGCGTGCGGGCTGTGGACGGGAAGGCGGCGTGCGGCCAGTGCGAGCGGGCCCTGTGTGGGCGCTGTGTGCGCACCTGCTGCGGCTGTGGGGCAGTGGCCTGCGCCCTGTGTGCCCTCGTGGAGTGAGTGCGGGCCCTGTAGGGGAGTGGGGGCGGCAGGCCCATCCCGCATTGCCCGGCGGGACGATGTGATGCCAGTAAATGCTTTGCTCAGCTTGAGTTTTTCCAAGACCTCGAGATCCTTTCTGGAGGAAGTCCAGACCTTGTAGGTCAGCCCTGCGCTGTCTGTGGTCTGTCCCAGACCATTTGTGCTCTAGTCCTTTGAGCCCTGGCATCAGGAAGCCTCACGTGGCCTTCCTATGTAGCGCGCTCATTAGCGGAGGACACCTGACAGGTGAGGGCAGGAAAGAAGCGTTTGTCTGTGACTTGGGTGAGCGTGTCTGCCATAGCCGGTGGACCCCGTCCCTGCCCAGGAGGTTTCGGGCGCTGTCCTCGTCCCAGCGGCCACTCCCGGCTGACGGGTGGGGATGGGCAGTGCCCCGTAAGAAAAGTTCTGCAGATCTCAAACCAGTTTAGTCCCAATGGCCATTAAAACCAACTCACCCCCCAACCACCAAAACAAACAAACAAAAAATAACCCAACCCCAACCGTGGAAAGTTAAAAACACGCCTCCCGAGAGGTGGGTTGCTCCACGGTTGGGACGCTCTGGACAGAAGGAGGCCAGGCATGGGCCTCCTGTGCTGGCCAGTTCAGGGGTCAGGTGCTGGGCGAGTCGTGAGTGTGGAATACTCTTTCTATTGATTTTGCCAACTCAGTTTTTCTTTTCTTCCTATTTATGTGTAAACTGAGACGGGCAGGGCCTTGCCAGTGGCTTTTCCCTGGAGGGGGAGCTGAGCACAGCACAAGGGCCAGCTGAGGGGGCCAGGTGGGCACCCCGCCTGCTGGCAGCTGCTTCCCTCCCCGGGGCCGTCCTCATCCTCAGGGACTCCCGTGGCAACCTCCCCCGTCCCTGCTCTCTGCTGCCTGGTTCCCAAGCACCCGCAGAGCCCGCCACGCACCTGCCTGTTTCTCGGGCCCCGGTGGGCGGGGCTCTCTGACCCGGGTGAGAAACAGACGACACGTTTGGGGTCCCCTCTGGAGGCCACGCCTCAGGCCTCCGAGCTTCAGCACCGCCCTGGAAGCGGGCATCCTGCCCGCACCTGGTGGCTGCCTCGTCTCCAGGGTCAGGCTCGGCCGCGGGTGGGGCATCGCTGCCAGGAGCTGGAGCCAGGCTCCTAGCCCTGGACGTGGACCCTTTGCCGCTGCACCTCAGGCGTGCTGCCGTCTCCTGTAAGCATGTCTCCCGACGCGTGTCCCCTGCCATTCGCTGAGTTGCCATGTCCCTATCCTACCTGAGCTGCTGCCCCTGTGAGCCATCCGGGGCCAGTCAAGCCTGCTGCACACCTGGCCGCCGTGAGACCTGGGCTGAGCCCTGGGGGCTCCTTAGCTCTCAGTCTGTGAGGGCAGCTCCAGCAAGCACTCCAGACGTTTACCCTCGTGCTCCAGAGGCAGATACCTGTCGGGGGAGCTGCTCCTGGAGCCCCGCACTCTGCGCGTTCCGTGCTCCGGCCGCCCCCCGGGCCCTCGAGCCGCCCCCCCGCCGCAGGTGCCCTTCTCCAAGGACCTGGCCCTGTGGGCCCGGCTCCCTGCAGCAGTGGGGCCTCTTCTTAACTGGTTCTGTCTGGGCCAACGACCCCGCCTCCAGATAAAGTCGAGGGGCCAGGTGGGGTCGGCAGCTCCCGTGGAACTCAGCCCTAATGCCAGCTCCTCTCCCCCAACCTCGCGGTGTCGCAGCTGCAGTGACCTCCACGAGAAAGTGCTGTGCGCCAGCTGCGCCGTGTTCGAGGCCTGAGGCCAGGAGAGGACAGCAGCCCTGCCTGGACGACCTCGCCGCTGTCCACGCTGAGGGACTGGGGGGAGGGGCGGGAGGGGACAGCCTTTCTATTTTGTATTTTGTTCTTCTGACCACAGAGGAGAATAAACCCTTTATATTCGGACAAGAGGACTCACTCGTCAGCGCCCCTGGGGCCCGTGGTCTGCCCGGCTCCCACCTGGCAGTGCCCTGAGCTCCATGCCAAGTGCTGCCAGTCGCCCCGTTGACAGGTGGGGACACTGCAGTCCAGAGCGTGTGAGCCCAGGTGGGGCTCCAGTGCCCCTCGGGGGTAGGGCCGCGTCCCAGGCTGTCCCTGAAGTGCCGCTGTAATACGCCGCTGTCTGGGTGGCTGGGCCCTGGGTGACCTGCCTGTCAGTTCCGTCTGGGTGGTGCAGCCCGTGTGGCCTGAGGGAGGGGAGGGGACGAGAGGGGGCAGGGAGGGGCGCAGCCCTGCGCGGGGGGCCTCCTCACCTGGGTCTCGGGCCGGTTCCCACGCGCGGGTCCGTGCAGCGCCGTGGGCGCAGGCCCTCCGGGTGAGCCCACGGGTAGCCAGTCCGCAGCCCCTCCAAGAAACCCTGGAGGAGAGGAGAGGTTCTTCGGGGGCAGCAGGGCACCCGCCTTGGGAGGGTCAAGTGACTGGCTCTTCACGGGGGCTGGCCAGGGTGGGGTTTGCCCCCAAGTGCAGAGCCTAGGACCCCTGAAGCAGGAGCGGGGGCGGGCCACAGGGAGGCTTGAGGTCTTGGGGGCGGCTGCAAGTAACCCCATGGGTCTTCCTGAGCTGAGAACATTCAGAGGCCTCTCCGGCTCGGCCGCGTGAGTGCAGCACGAGCCCTCGTCGTGGGGTCACCTCCTCTCACCTGGCTTCCTGCAGAGGCCCTGGGCCTCCGTCCCAGTGTCCACCTGCAGACCACGACCCCAGTGAGCACGTGAAGAGATGCTCAGCATCGCTCAGCATCAGGGAAACACAGCTCAGTAACACAGGAGATGCTGCCTCACACCCGGCAGGGGGCTGCCGTTCAACAGAAAACAAGTGCCGGCGGGGCCGTGCAGACCCGGGAGCCCTGTGCACTGCTGTGGGGATGTAAGGTGACGCAGCCTCTGTGGAACAGTATGGCTGTTCCTCAGAAACTTAAAGGTAGAGCTCACGTGACCTAGCAATCCCACTTCTGGCAAATACCCAGCAGGGATTCAAGCAGATGTCTGTACGCCTATGTTCATAGCAATAGCATTCACAAGAGTGAAAATGTGGAAACAAACCACGTGTCCGTGAAGGGATGAATGGATAAGCAAATCGTGGTCCATCCATACAATGGAATATGACTTGGCCTTAAAAAGGAAGGAGATCCTGACGCAGACTGCAGCACGGATGGCCCTTGAGGACGTCAGGCCGGGTGAAGCAGCCAGTCACGAAGGACAGGTCCTGTGTGACTCCACTCCCGTGAGGTCCTTGGAGCAGTGGGCTTCACAGAGACAGACAGTGGAAGGGTGGGGGCCGGGGGAGGGGGCAGTGAGTGTTGAACGGGAGCAGAGTTTTAGTTTGTGAAGATGAAAAGTTCTGGAGACGATGATGGTGCTGGTGCCACAGCCATGTGAATGCATTTAATGCCACTGAACTGGCCACTTAAAAATGGTTAAAGCGGTAAATTTTACATATATTTTACCAAGTAAGAATATTTAGAATGTTAAAAAGACAGTTGTTGAAAGCAAGACTAATAATGTGTGTTGGGGATTTTGAACGTGTGGAAACAAAAGTGACCACAGCACGGAGACGGCAAGTGGAGGTGTGTGTTCTGAGGACCGTGCGTGTGAAGGGCTGAATTTCACTCCAAGGCAGGCTGCTGAGTGAGTTATGGACTGACATCCGACAGGCCGTGGCTACAGTCGTTCCTTCGGGAGAGATTTGTTCTAAATTCCGCATAGGATCCTGGGTTGGATCCTGGAACAGGAAAGGAACATCAGTGAGAGAGTTGGTAAAATCCAAATAAGCCAATAAGAGAGAGAAAATGGGGGACTTCCCTGGTCGTCCAGGGGTGAAGAATCCGCCTTCCAACACAGGGGACGTGGGTTCGATCCCTGGTCAGGGAACTAAGATCCCACATGCTGAGGAGAAACTAAGCCTGCGCGCCACAACTCCGGCGCCCGTGCGCCTCAACAAGAGAGCCCACGTGCTGCAACCTACAGGGCCTGCGGGTACCTCTCTGGGCCCAAGGAATGTCTTGTCAGGGTCACGAGCCCCGGAGCCTGGAGAAGCAGGCTGCTTCTGCCAGCGCCAGGCCCCGTGGAAAGGTCCGGCCCTGTCCCGGCCACGCCTGCGGGGTTGAGTCCCCGTGAGAGAGGAGGAGCTGAGGCTCCGCCCACCCCTCTCTGGGCCGGCGCCGGCAGCCGGCTCCTCTCCGCACCCACCAGGTGGCGCCCACGGCACGTCCCGCTGGGCTGCTCGGGCGCCCCGGACCCACTCCCGGCTGTCCCAGGCTTGCGGTGTGACCACCGGCAGGCCGCTCTCTCGGTCCTCCTCGGGGCCCTGCAGGGTGGCTGGTCCTTCCTGGTGGTCGGGGTCTGCGGCGTTGCATGGACAGAGCTGGTAGGCAGGCGGCTGTGCAGTCTGGGTGGCTTCCTTGGGGCATGGGGCTGGGGCGAAGCCAGGTGGAGACAGGGACGGCCAGGGCATCCCCCCCCTCCGGTGAGTCCCGCCGGAGTGGGGTGGGGGGACATCGTCCCTCAAAGGTCATCCCTGGGGCCTCCGGGCAGGAAGGACAGGGCGCTCCCCTCAAGCGGACCGGCCACATGCCCCTTCACTTGCCACCCAGCAAAACAAGCCACAGAGTTGAAAAGCAATTTTTATTGAAGAATTTGGAGGGAAAGTCTCATAATAGTAAAAATACTAAAGTTGAGTATAAAAAAACGCCACGGTGCAGCGCAGCGTCCGGCCGGGAGACACGGAGGGTGCAGCGACGGCCCCTCCGAAGGGTGTCAGGTGGGGCCAGGGCGACAGCAGGAGAGTGAAGCTTCTATAAGGACAGGTGCTACCAGGGGAAGCCATCGGGTGAGACGGTCCCAATGGGGAAGGGGGCAGAGTGAGGGCCCTCTCCTGAGATTAGAAACCCCAGTATGCACGTGAACAGCATAATACACGGCAACAGATGTCACCTGGCTCTTCTATCTTGCCGGCGAACCCCGGCCCAGCCCCATTGCAGGGGCCACCCTCCTCCAGCCTCAGTGCTGGGGCTGCTGCGTGCCCCACCCCGAGCGAGAGGGGGCCGGGCCAGCGCACCACGGCAAGGTGGCCTCTGGGGCCCCCGGGCCGGGCCGAGGCGGGGGCAGCCAGGGACAGCCGGCGAGAGGGACGGAGGGGCCACGGGCAGGGCCCACCCAGGCCCGATTGCACTTGGCTGCAGAAGTCCTCAACGTTTTCCTACGTGAATCTAATCGTTCCGAAGGCCGCGGCCACGTCTGGAGAACTGGATGAATAAATTAAGAAAAACCGCAGGATGTCTTCCTCCCGACCTGGCTGGCCGAGAGGACACCGCCCCCAAGGCGGGCAGCCCTGCCCACAGCACGAGGCGTCTTCCCATCCGTGTTGGAGGACGGCAATGTTTCCACCCAAACGCATCCGGAAATAAGAAACGTTAAATACAGATCATCCGTGCGAGGCTTCCTCCCGGGTCTTCCAAGCCCTCGTCCGGAGCACGTGGCTGCCCACAGCGGCGTCCCAAGCACACCGGCTGGCCCCTCAGGCCGTGCCGCTGGCCGAGTAGGAGAACTGGGGGAAGTGAGGCCTCCGCTCGCTGTCCACGCCCTCCATGCTGTCGTCTGCGGGCGGGAGGGGCGGGTTAGCTCCCGGGACCGGGCAAGCGAGGCCCGC